AACTTGGATGTGATCCTTCACATGTATAGGATCATTTATGCAATCTACACACAATGAGAGCGTAATAGGTAAATATAGCTTTTCCCCCTCATTTGTCAAGACAGGCTTTCTCTTTACAGACCTGGCTATTCTGAAACTTGCTCTGTGGAATAAGGAGGCCTTGAACTAACAGAGATTCTCTTGGCTATTAAGTGCTGGAATTAAAAGCATGTGCTACCACCACAGTTTGAATACCTAGAAACTTAAATACCACATTTTTAAAACCTAAAAACAGTCTTAAGTATTTCATTGGATTCTCCCTTAAACAAAATAATTAGGAAGAGCAGACAGCAATTATTTTATGTGATCATTCTTATGACCGAGTAATATAACCTTTTTCATTCGTATTTCCAAAAATTATCTGCACATAAAATATTATAGTATGGTCATGATTATTGTACCTTACATCTGTGTAACACTGTGCCCCAACATTTCTCTCCTGAATCCAGTGAGGTTGCTATTGTTTTCTCACTAAGCAATGACATTATTCAAAGCTGAAGAAATTGAAGTTTGCCAACTTAATGATAACTTTCTGCCATTTTCCAGTACTCTTCCAGGTGACTTCTCTAGCCCAGAGCTTCCTCATTGCATTCTTTACTTCTGCATTTCTCAAAGTGTAAATCAGAGGGTTCAGCATGGGAGAAGGTAGTATCAGGCCTCATATACATGAAAGTACAGGGACCAAAAAAGATGATGACCACAGCAATGTGGGAAGCACAGGTGGAGAGGGCTTTGTGCCTGCCTTCTGCTGAGTGTTTTCTCAGAGACACCAGAATAATGGCATATGAGATTAGTAAGACAACAAAACTTCCTAGTCCAATGGTACCGCAGTTGGCTGTCACAACCATACCTACAATGTAGGTGTCTGTGCAGGCAAGTTTCAGTACAGGTTGGACATCACAGAAGTAGTGATCAATCTCATGGGGCTCGCAAAAGGGGAGCTGTACCATCAGAACCACTTGGATAATGGAGTGTAAGAACCCCACCCATCCACCCATGTTCCCAGCAGCATCTTATTGCATCTCTCCCGGTCCATAATAGTCATGTAGTGGAGGGGTTTACAGATGGCCACATATCGATCATAGGCCATGACAGTAAGGATGAAGATCTCAGTGCAACCAAAGAAGTGAACTCCAAAAGGTTGTAACATGCACCCCACATAGGAGTTTTTTTCTTCACCAGCAGGTCAACAATCATCTTGGGTGCTGTGACTGAGGAGTAGAAAATGTCCACAAAAGATAGAAAGCTGAGGAAAAAATACATGGGGGACTTGAAAAGATTGCCACTGAAAACTGTGACCATAATGAGGAGGTTTCCCAGCACTATAACCATGTAAAAGAAGGAAAACACCACAAAGCATACTTCTTCAGTCTCTGGACTCTGAGACAGGCCCCAGAAAATAAATTCACCGACATTGTTTACTCCTTCTATGGAATAAGTTCTTGAGGGCATAATCCCAAAAAGTCTTTAAATTACCTGAAAGACAAATGAATAAAATCAACACTCATTCTTATTTTATAATAAATGAAAAATTACGATGACTAGAGGTGGAAGGCGAGCACTTAGGACTTCATACTCTGAAATCAGTTCAAATGCATCTGTTCAGATCAACTTATCTCAGTGATACGTCCCAGTGTTCTTTTTAATTAAGATGAGAAGTAAAGGCCTAAGACATAAGGCTGATTCTCGCAGTCTCACATTATACCTGAAGAATTTGCTTCTCTACGTTTCAAAGATTATTTATCAGCTTATAAATGTACTTGGATCTTATTTTGCATGAGATATCTATTAAATTTCAAACACAATACTGTCTGAAATATCAACAAATGCTTGCAGCATTGTTTATACAGAATTAAGAATGTTTGCTCATATTTACCCTGCTTCATACTGTCCTACCTGGGTATCATATCTACTCACAAATCACAAGTAACAAGCCACAATGACTTCTGCAGGCTTCCCTTCCCCTAAAAATTGGATCATCTTGAAGTGACACTATGGTCTCTCATCTGACCTCATGAATTGAACATCAATATGTGGTATTGTAGAAAGAAACTTAATTTAGGCACACTTGATTCTAAAATGATCCCACTGTAAGCCAGATGAATCATTTAACTTCATGAGACTTCCTTCACATCATTTGTCATATAAAATTTTGTCATTATTGTTTGTCATAAAATGTCACTTCTACAATGAAATTAAATCAGTCCATGAGCATAAAATCAAAACAAAATACTGAAGATATATCATTAATATAGTAGGCTACTTAGACTGAAGTGGGAAGATCATGAGTTTGAGGAAAGCCTAGGTAACATAAAGAGATCCAATTTCTTTTTTTTTATATCCTTTTTTTTATTTTATTGAGAATAAGAAAAAAAAAGTATCCGCCTCCTCCCAGCCTCCCATTTCCCTCCCCTCCCCCCACTCTTCTCCCCCTCCCCCACTC